GATAGATAGATAGATAGATAGATAGATAGATAGATAGATAGATAGATAGATAATAAATACATAAATAGAAAGAATCTAAACCTATCATCCTATCACTCTGGAGACTAACACAGGAGGCTTGCCAAGAGTTTGACACTAGCCTGGGCTACAGAATGAGACCTCTTTTTTTAAAAAGTCAGAAGCAAGGTAAGACTGCCGACTATCTCCTACCACCGTTTCACACTTTATACTGGAGATCTTAGGCAAGAAACTCGAAGTCAAACATGTAAGTATTAGATGGAAAGAAGACTATAGACAATTTTTTAAAATATTTATTTATTTATTATGTATACAACATTCTGCCTGTGTGTATGTCTGCAGGCCAGAAGAGGGCACTAGACCTCATTACAGACCTCATCACATGGTTGTGAGCCACCATGTGGTTGCCAGGAATTGAACTCAGGACCTTTGGAAGAGCAGGCAATGCTCTTAACCACTGAGCCATCTCTCCAGCCCCTATAGACAATTTTTTTAACTAGATTTTGAGTGCAGGTTTTGCACACACAGGTAAAATAATCAGACTTAATATTTTAAAAAGAATATTCTGGGGACAGCAGGTATAGTCCTGGTAAGTACTTGCCTGGCTCTGGGTTGAATTCTTAGAAGTGAAAACAAACACACAAAACAAAACCCTCTTTGTAGAGCAGTGGTTTGGTTCTCTGTGGGTCGCTACCCCTTTGAGGGGTCGGTCCCTAAGACCACTGGAAAACACAAATATTCACATTACATTTCATAACAGTAGCAAAATTACAGTTATGAAGTAACAATAAAAATATTTTTATGGTTGTTGGTCACTATAACATAAAGAACTGTATTAAAGGATCACAGAATTAGGAATTGAAAATCACTGCTATAGAGAGTAAGTTACAAAAGGACAAAGGCATTCATTAACATGGAGACCTGAAAAGGAAGCTGCTTCCAGAGTCCAGGCAAGGGATGTGGTGTGGCTACTGAGTCCGAGGTAGCAGTACTCACGCCACAGACACATCCCAGGGGTGCCTCCTGTAGCATGTGCTGATGGCTGGACACAAGACAAGGGCTCAGGCTAAACCAACTTTCTCACTGAGCATTTAGTAAGAATTATTGAGGTAGTGACACTTAGAGGCAAGCTGGGACTACAGGAGGAATCAAGTGTTTGTGCCAAGCATGATGACACACATCTTTAGTCCCAGCACTCAAGATCTCTGAGTGCTAGGCCAGTGTGGTGTATTTAGCATGTTCTAAGACAGCCAGGGCTACAGAGAGAGACCTTGTCTTATGTTGGGGACCAGCTTCAACAAGAGTACCACTTACCAGGGTAGGGGCACGAGGATTAGAAAAATAAGTAAAGAGAATGAAGACCCAAGTGAAAATAATAAAACAGAAGTATATTATAGTACCAGGAGGAGTTCCGGTGAATACTGAAAACTGCCCATGCTTAATTTTCCATACACTTTTATATCCCAGTACAACGGGGAAGAAGACAAAAGACTGCCTTCACATGATACAAAGGACAACTAGAACAGTTACTTGCTTCAATACATCAAGTCATTAATTCTTGAGAAAAGCATTCTGTTGTTTAGACAGTGAACCTACCCTAGACCAAGTATCCTGAAGGCAGCCACTCTCTAGGTCAAACCTCTTAAATGAAAGGAAGGAGCAGAAGTATGCTTGAATTCTCTGACCTTTGGTCAGGGTGGAGTGGATCTATCTGTGTGGGCCATCTTAATGTTAAAAAAGACCAAGTAACCACAACTTAGGTCAGGGTATGTAGTCACACTTGTTTTCAGCAACTCTGAGCAAGCTGAAATCCTCTGACCTTCAGACAAGGTGGAAATAAGCTCACATTTCTGGGCCTCCACATATCCCTCCATTTTTATTAATTTTTATAAAGCCTGTACTTCTGCGACAGGACAGATGATTGTGTCTGCCTTAGGTGAACATGTTCCTGTATTCCAGACTTACCTGTCTTCAGTACATGCATTCCAATCATACATGCCCATATCTTAGGTACCTGGGGAGGATCTTACCCATTTCTGACTGGTGACTTCTGTAAGCAAAGGGTTAAAGGAGAAAGCAACTCTAGGTGCCCTTTGCTTCTGAGACAACTTTTTGGCAAGAGAGTTCACCAATGGTGAGATAATCACGGGCAAGCAGATGCTTTGGGATATACATGCTCCTACGGCTACAGCATCTCCCAATTAAAGGAGTGGAGGATCACCAAGGGTGGGAAAGCCCTTCTGAATTGGTGCAGGGTGTTTCTTAACAGTTTTCAGCTGTATCTAAATTTGTCTTAGTAAACATGTAAAACCCAGGAACTCATTGGTAATGTCAAAAGACAAGTTTTAATCTTTTTCTACTCATTAATATCTCATAGTGAACTAAAGCAGTTACAAACATTACCAGGTCAATACCATAATTCTAGCATAAATATTAACAACAAACATGCAATTTGTCGGGCTGGAGAGATGGCTCAGTGGTTAAGAGCATTGCCTGCTCTTCCAAAGGTCCTGAGTTCAATTCCCGGCAACCACATGGTGGCTCACAACCATCTGTAATGAGGTCTGGTGCCCTCTTCTGGCCTGCAGACATACACGCAGATAGAAGAATATTGTATACATAACAAATAAATAAATAAATATTAAAAAAAGATGCAATTTGTCAAATCACAATTCTCTTAAATCTATTCTAATCAAAGGACAAGAAAAGGTTTCTGTGATTGGATGAGAGTCCAATTGCAATGCTGCTTTTAAATAATTGTCCCAGTCTCTGAGCAGCAGGAAAAACTCTCAGGCTACCCTCCTCATCTCTGAAGACGGGCTTCAGTCACCCCTTGTAATGAATCTTTTTTCCTCAAAGGAGAAAATTGAGGTCTCAGTTTTTAGGCCCCTTATTTCTTTGTTTTGTTTTGTTTTTTCGAGACAGGGTTTCTCTGTAGCTTTGTAGCCTGTCCTGGAGCTAGCTCTTGTAGACCAGGATGGCCTTGAACTCACAGAGATCTGCCTGTCTCTGCCTCTCGAGTGCTGGGATTAAAGGAGTGTGCCACCACTGCCCGGCCCGTAGTTCCCTTATTTCAACAGAAGATTGATTGTCATACTGGCAAAATGAGTTCTGAAGACCAGGGTATAAAACTGTCAAATGTTCAGTCAGGGTTTTGGGGATTGGCTCCAAGGTAAACAGGACACACTATATCTGAAAGTTTGCACAGCAAATCCATCAAGAGACTAAGAATCACCAGTTATCAATGTTGGGCCCACGAGGGTCCCGCAAAGATGGGGGACAGACCACCAAAGTCTTATAAACCAGGAGCAAACTTTATTCCAGGAAAAAGAAAAAACTAAAATCTCCATGGGACACAAAAATAAAATCTCCATGGAGCACAAAAAGCTTATCAGCTAGCTGTGACCACAGCCAGAGATGGACTTGTGCGGTTGTGACCATGGGCTGTTTATAGCAAGAAGTAAGCATTAGGCATGAACAAAAGAATTTTTACAATCTCAAGGTAAAACTCAGATACAAATGCTTTTTTTAATAACTTCCATTAACAGGGATTTTTAGTTAAACTCGTGATTGTATTTAGTTCATTATTTCTCTCCGGCACTTTCTGATGGAGTTCACCAAATCTCTACACTCCCCTGATACTGCCGACTTTGTGTGGCAGGGTAGGGTATGGGACAATGCATGACCAAAAAGTCAGGAACATCCCATCATTGAAAAGTTAACTCAGCTCACATCAGTTGCTGGTCATGAGTGGCCAGGGGGTTCTCTAAAAGCTGACCCGCCGTTTGCAGAGGGACTCAGTTTACAGAGGGCCCCATCAGCCTTGCAGACAGAGCTGTGGATTGTAAAGCAGAGTAACCCACTGTTAATAGTTAATCCTTAAGTTGTTGGCAGCCTGCTCTCATTTTCCTAGGCTTGCTTTATATTTATTTATCTTTAAACTCTTAATTCTGGAATCTGCATTTCTATATTCTTATCCTTGGATTCTTCAGTCACTACAATGATCTTCCTTCCCATCTCCACCTGCAGCATGATGGGGGAGTCAGGAACACAGACTCTCATTCCGACTCTTCTGCCTGCAGGGGCTTAGCAGCTACAATGTCATCGGGACTGGCACTTCAGCTGTACGTGCAGTCATCTCAAGAAAACAAAAAAGCTTTATTTTCTTCCTGTGAAAAAATCACAGACATATTTTCAACCCCAAATTAGTACAGGGTTGGGTCCTTTCCATAATCCAGTGCAAGGGTCTTTCCACCTTGCTTTAGCAAAGGTCACCTTGGTGCCATCATGCCAATATCTATCCATGGCAGACTGCTCATGGGTATAAAAAGGGCATGATTTAAGGCATTTTGTAGCGACTGAGTGTATAACTCCTCCTTATTTATTTATTTTTTGAAGTTGTGTCGTATGGGCGCATTAATTGCATGCCTTCTTAGAGACAGCATTTTATGAGCTGCCTGGGAATTAGAATCATTACTCCCCATAATCATCTCATGGAGGGGGGATAAGATCCCCTGTAAACAATAATAAGCAGGACCACAACCACTGGATAGCTTACTAAAAGTTTGTAAGCTATTTTTCTTTCTAATCCAAATTGCAAATCTGCCTAGCTGACAGGCTCAACTTGCTCATTTACATTTGCACAGACACTTGCTGGCCTGGAGCTGACATTCCCAGAGGCTACTTTTTGTAGCTTGGCTGTCAGGTTGGGAATCAGGATCTCTGCTAGCAGCTGAAGCCGAGCTGCCAATGCCACGCTCTCTCCACCACTTGGCAGTCGCACCTTGGTACTTGGGACCAGGAGGCCCAGTCCCTCCTTGCTCACTGTGCCTGGGCAGGGCACAGGCCATGCGACTCTGAGACCACCAGCATACTTATGATTCCTTCTTCTGAATTAAGAGGTGTGACCTAGAGAGTGGCTGCCTTCAAGATACTTGGTCTAGGGTAGGTTCACTGTCTAAGCAACAGAATGCCTTTCTCAAGAATTAATGACTTGATGTCTCGAGTACTGAAACAAGTAACTGTTCTAGTTGTCCTTTGTATCATGTGAAAGCAGTCTTTTGTCTTCTTCCCCCTGATGTACTGGGGCATAAAAGTGTATGGAAAATTAAGCGTGGGCAGTTTTCAGTATTCACCGGAACTCCTCCCAGTACTATAATATGCTTGTTTTATTATTTTCACTTGGGTCTTCATTCTCTTTACTTATTTTTCTAATCCCCATGCCTCTACCCTGGTAAGCAGTACCCTTGTTGAAGTTGATCCCCAACAGTCTTAAAAAGAAAGAGTTTTTTATGCCCACTGATCTCTTTTATTTGTTTTGCTTGAGATAGCCCAGTCTGAAGAATGGCCTTGAATACTGATTCTCCTGCCTCCACCTTCCAAGTGTTGGGATTATACCCATTCATTTTTTAAAAAACAGATATTCAGGTGAAGATAATGAGCAATCAATATCACTTACAAGTCAGAAATTCCGAGGCAATATAAGGCCATGATAAGGAAAAGAGTTCTTCAGCACAATCTTTAACTTTTGGGATCAATGATTTGATCCACAGTATGTATACAGAGAAGAGGAGGTACTCCTGGTGGAGGAATGGGGAGTCGAAGAAAATACAGCAAAATCCACATGGAAACAGAAGCTAGTGACTTATGAAAATAGTCAAGAACTGATGAAGAGACTGAGTCAAGACACAGTATGACAGGATATATAACTACATAGGCCATCAGTTATTTTTCTGCTGCTATAATAAAATGCCCTGGAATGAGCAACTTAACGCAGAAAAGGGTTATTTTGGCCACAGTGAAGGTTCAGGTTGTCATGAGGAGGAATTCACGGCAGCAGGAGCTGGAAGCAGCAGGCCACATTGTGTCTGCCATCGGGAAGGGGTGAGTCATGAAGGATTGTGCAAATTTCCTCCCCTATGCAGTCCAGGGCCCTAGTTCAAGGAATGATGCCATCTTCCATTACAGTGGCTCTTCCTCCTCAGCAGCCCTAATCAAGACCACCCTTCACAGCTGTGTCTAGAGACCTGCCTCCTAGATGATTCCAGACCCTACGAGTTGACTGTCAACATCAACCATCACAGGAGACAGTGCTAAACACGTTTCATGGTTTTGGGCAATTTAACTTCAAATGGTATGATACTATTTTTTCCTTTTTCCATTTTCATGTGTGTGTGGTGTGCATGAGTATGTATGTTTTACATGTGTGTTGGCCCACTTGTATGTGGGGGGTGTTGTACATGCCACGTAGAGGCCTGAGGCTGATATGAAGCATCCATCATTCTGGATCATTCTTCCACTTTATTCACTGAAGTGGGGTCTCTCAATCAAATCCAGAGCTGACTGACATGGTTAATCCTGCTTGTCAGCTTGCTCTATGGGTCCCTGTTCAGCTGCCATTCCCACATGGACTTTACATGGATTATGGAGATCCAAACTCCCATATACATGCTTGTGAGGGCAGCCCTTTAAGCACTGAGCCTTCTCCAGCCCTACAATAAGACTGTATTATCTAACATTTTACAAACTGTATTATCTAACATTGCTTTCCTATCATGTTACAGACAGATGTGATAAGAGCGCCAAGACCCTGCTTATCTGGGCGAAGGATACGCAGGTGTTCCATGTGTATTTTCATAATAAAGCCGCTGGGAGAGGTTGTTTTGAAAGGGTCCATTATTGACTATATTTAGTTGCTTGTTCTTCCTAATGTCAAATACCCATCTATTCCTAGTACACATCTTTGTGTATAAATGCTATTTCTTTGCTATTCCTTTTTCGACAAAGGGAAATATCACTGTAAAGATAGCTGATACCAGCTCTAGTCTAGATAGGTACAAAACAAACATTTTCTAAGATAAAACATATCATAAAATAGCAAAAAGTTGGAATTGGTGATGTGCACCTATAATCTCAACACACAGGTGTTGTGGAATATTATTTTAAGATATGCTACATTTGTTTATGCTGTGGAACATGTTTTAATGATGCAAAGATGTGTTGTATTCTCTTTTTTTGGATTTTTTATTGAGGCAGGGTTTTTCTGTAGCTTGGAGCCTGTCCTGGAGCTAGCTCTTGTAGACCAGGCTGGCCTCGAACTCACAGAGATCCGCCTGCCTCTGCCTCCCGAGTGCTGGGATTAAAGCCATGAGCCACCACTGCCCGGCGCATTCTTTTATGTTGCATTTGTTTAACTTCATGAGGCTGTGTTATTTTGCCTATCTAAAACACCTGATTGGTCTAGTAAAGAGCTAACTGGCCAATAGCTGGGCAGAAAAAGGATAGGTAGGGCCCATAGGCAGAGAAAATAAATAGGAGAAAAATGGCAGGGGAGAAGGAGAAGCAAAAAAAGAAGAGGACACTAGGGGCCAGGCATCCAGCTACACAGTAAGAAGTACAAGCCAGCCACAGAGTAAGAAGTAAAGAAAGATATACAGAATAGAGAAAGATAAAAGCCCAGAAGCAAAAGGTAGATAGGATAATTTAAGTTAAGAAAAACAAGAAACAAGCCCAGCTAAGGCCGGGCATTCATAAGAAAGAATAAACTCCCGTGTATTTATTTATTTGGGAACCGGGTGGCAGGCCCCCAAAGAGTAAAAAACGACAGCTACACACAGCAGATAATCAGGAGGAGAGTTCAAGGCTAACTTTGGAAATCAATATGGCAATTTCTCAGAAAATTAAGAATCAATCTACCTCCTCTTTCCTTTTGCAGCCATCGCTGGATTGCAGCCGCCAAAATGAAGTTCGATCCCGTTGTGACTTCTGACTGAAGCAAGTACGGTAAACGGCGTTTCGGTACACCTTCTCACGTTCGGAGGAAGATCGTGTCTCTCCCCCTTTCCAAAGAGCTGAGACAGAAGTGCAGTGTTCGATCTGTGCCCATTCGAAAGGATGGTGAAGCTCAGGCTGTCTGAGGGCAGTACAAAGGCCAGCAGATTGGCAGTGGTTCAAGTGTACGGGAAGCAATATGTCAGCTACACTGAACGGGTGCAGCGAGAAAAGGCTAATGGCAAACTGTCTACGTGGTCATCCACCCCAGCAAGGTGGTTATCACCAGGATAAAGCTGGACAAGGACCGCAAGAAGATTCTGGAAAGAAAAGCCAAGTCTCGACAACTGTCCCCATCATCTCCCAAGGGTCTGTCTGCCTCTCAATAGCAGTTTAAGTAGCAGTTTAAATTTGACGTGTGTGTCAAAGGCAACATCCACACCATAGCATGTCAGAAGAACTTGGGCATCACCTTGGGGAGGTTCCCCGTGACCAAAACAAAATAGATGATCCAAGCATCAAAATTTACTTCAGCTGCCAACATCTGAGCACATGGCATGTGTTCAATTATGAACTCATAGTGTATACACGGGAATCTTCACTGGCTCCCTTGAAGAGGCTAGGACACCAACACTATCTGAAAGTTGGCAAAAGAAAACATTTATCCAGCTTCTCCTGGGAATTGCATCTCTGGATAACAAAGAGTTAACGTGGAAACCATGTTAGGTTTTTTGTTCGTTTGTTTTGTTTTCTGTCCCAGTGTCAATCCTGAGAGAGCCCCATGTCTAGGATTTATTCTGGCTCTGGGTTTCGGTGGCTTCTGTCTCTCTAGTGAGACAGTCAACTGTGCCGCTCCTGAGACAGGAGAGCATCCCTGTACTGTAAGGTTCCCAGACCCTACTCAGACCTCAGACTACAGGATGGTGCCACCCACATTCTAGGTGTGTGGTCCCCCCCAAATCCTCTCTGGAAATGCCTTCACAGACACACCCTAAGCAGTGCTGTACCGATATAGGTGCTGCTCAACTCAATCAAGTGGATAAAATTAATCACTAGAGAAAAGGGGTTTTCTCCCACCCCCAGTGCAGAACCCCAGGGCCTCAAACAAGCCACCAGGCATGTGCTCTACTACCCAGTTATATATACCCAGCTTGTAAAGTTTCTTTTTCTTTCTTTCTTTCTTTTTTTTTTTTTTTTTTTTTTGAGGCAGTATCTCAATATACAGCCTAGGTTAGTCCCCAACGCAAAATCCTCCTGCCTTTGTGTCCTGAGTGCTGGTATGCTAGCTGTGCACCACTGTGCTCCAATTCTTAATAACAATAATAACAATAATAATAATAATAATAGAGCCTGGGGAGAAGGCTCAACAGTTACAAGCACTGGCTGTTCTTCCAGAGGACCAGAGTTCAATTCCCAGCACCCACACGGAGTTCACAACTGTCTGTCACCACAATTCCAGGGAATCCAATGCCCTCTTCTGGCCTCCGTGAATACCAGGCATGTACACTGCACACTGACATGCATGCAGGTAAAACATGCATACACATAAAATAATAAAAATTGTAAACTAATAATGGAAGAAAATGGAGAATCAGACAAGAGATTTTTAAAGATTAAGAGCTATTTCAGGAGCAAAGTAAGGATCCCATTTAGATTTTGATTAAAATAGACAATTTTGAAAATCCAACATAAAGAAAAAAGTGAACAGCTGGATACTTGATATTAAAATCATTGTTTGGTTTGATTTGGCTTGATTTCTAAAATGAGTTCCTGCTATGTAGCCTAAACTGGCCTCAAACTCATGATCCTCCTGCCTCTACCTCCCAACTACTGGTTAGGATAAGTATTTATCTGACTTTTACTATTGTTTTTAATTTTATTTCTATTATTGTATGCATTATGGTGTGAGAGCACACACATGTCAAAACACATGTAGAGGTCAGAGGACAAGTCTGTGGAGCTGATTCTCTCCTTCCACTTGGCATGCATTCCAGGTATCAAACTCAGGTCACCAAGGTTTTAGAAGCAAGCACGACCCGCTGAGCCATCTTGCCAGCCCTGTCATTAGTTTTTAAAGGCACAACAGTAACACTATGATTTTGTTTTAACGAAGAATCCTTATTTTCATCAGTAATACACTGAAACATCTATTGATAAAATAATGACATAGATATGCACCAAATAACTGGGGGAGGGGACAGACATATGGATGAAACAAGATTGGCCATGAATTGCCCCTGGGAGAGTTTACAGGCACAGAAGGTATCTGCAAGCGGTGAGAAAGATGTGTGTGTGTGTGTGTGTGTGTGTGTGTGTGTGTGTGTGTGTGTGTTGACAATAATCTTCCTCCCACCCGCATCAACATCAACTTTTAAAGACGGGTGCCATCACCCAGTAAGCTAGAAACCTAAGGGAGCACTGGCTGCAGCAGTTCCCCTACGGGGTTTGCTATCGCACCTCCCAGCTAGCTAACATTCTCTCTTTCGTTAGTCCGGCCCTAGTTCAGTCTCTTGCCCCGGCAGATGGAACCACCTTCCAAAACATTCTCCCTCACTACAACCAGCTCTTCGGCCTGAGATTACTGCCACTAACATTAATATTACCTCAAATATGAATCCAGTGTCGGTTAAGCTTACTATGAAGGGGGTGATTATTCTATAGACACACATTTCGAGTGTCTCTAGGCGCTGCACGAACTACAGAAAACCAATTCCCTCCAGGCATGGTAGCACATACTTGGAATCCCAGTACAGGAGGAGTCTTCATGAGTTCAAAGCCGGACCCAATCTCTACCCAAAAGATCATCAACAGTTTCTCAGTTAACTCTCATTTAACGTGAAGAGTATGTTTTTGCTGAGACCAAAGTCTCCGAAAAACTGAACAGGCATCGGCCTACCCACTGTCTCTGGGACATGACTCTATTCTCTCTCCAAACCTGCGCGATTCTTGCCCTTATACGGTGCACTACCCCCTCAAGCCCGCCTTGCACCGTCACAGTCTCTCCCGCCGCGCTCCACGCCGCCGCGAGGGGGCAGGAGACCCACGGCTGCAGGCCCGGAGACCGCCGCCGGGGTGCAGTGACGTCACGCAACCCCGGCGCTGATTGGCTAGTTTCCCGACGACCTTGGGGAGGGGGGAGGAGCCCGTGGCCGAGCCGGAAACGTGGGGCGCAGCGAAAGCCACGTCCCGAGACTGGGCGTGCGCACGCCGAGGAGCCCAACCGCTGTGGCGGCCTCTGCATCTCCTCCCCTGGCCTGAGGGGGCACACTCGCTGCTCCACGACCCGGGGCGCCACCTGCTGAAGGGGTCACACGGCCGCGGGCTGGGCGATCGCGAGGGGAGGAGTCACCTTGAGAGGAGGGACACAGTGGCGAGCCGAGTGCCCGGAGAGGGCTCGCTTAGCGAGAGGAACACAAAGAGGAGGGGTGCAGCGCCGAGGGGCTCGGGGCACACACGGAGGTGGCAGTGTCATCCCCAGGAAAGGTCCCCCCTGAAGGACAGCGACCTCCGAGGGGGCGGGATCTCGCCGAGGGGTGGGCTCTGGCAGAGGGAGGGGCTCCCCTGCAGGTGGAGGCTGCTCTTAGGAGAGGGTCATTAGGACAAAGAAGTAAGGGGGTGGTCACCGGGAGGAACCCCGAAATCTGAACTTCCCTTAGGGGAATCGGGATGGAGTGAGGAGGGGTCGGGGCAGGGCAGGGATGCGGCCAGATGCTCCCTACACCGCCGACCGCGGCCGCCCGAGAGGACAGGTGTTAGCGAGCCCCGAGATTGAGGGTGTCGGGGTCCGAAGACCCTAGAAATGGGCAGTCGGGGTTGGACGCAGGCCAGGCAGGCAGCGGGCTTGATCGGTGCAACCCAGGGCGGAGGCGGCCCCACGCCCGCCGTCCACCCCTAAGACCCCAGTTCTTCACGCCCAGCCTACGCGCGGGTGCGTACCTGAGGGGGCGTGGCCGGGCCGCAGCCGGGCTTCAAGGAGTTAAACGCTAACCGGGCCCAGCCCCGCCCCGGGCAGGCCGCGCAGCCTGAGCCCGGCGGCGAAGCGGAGCAGCAGCCGCCCGCCCG